GAGATCAGACTTGGGTTGGACATGGTTACCTCCTATGTCCCTCCCCCCCTTCTCTCTCGCATGTCTATGGATCTCTCCCCATGTGTGTGAGCGGAAGGGCAATCTTTCTGATGTCTTGCCCTTCCGAAGTTTTCTCCTTTTCATGTTGTTGTCCACGTGTCCTTTGATACTAAATCTTCCGCTGCGCTGCTTCCCAGCCTATGATGATGATGATACGAATGTGTTGTTATTGATTTCCCGTTGTTTCACTCTTTGCGTCGCGCACATTGACACCTTGTGAATGTTGCACCTATGCTGCTGGTTGTTGCCACTTTCGTCATTGCTAGATCCTAGGCTTTCAGTGCATTTCACTTTCTGATATGCTACAGAGAGAGAGAGAGAGAGTTATGCCTGAACAATTAGCCACCTGAACCTGTGGGTTGGGTCGTGAGAAAGGTCCAAGAGGGTTTTCAACTACACCTTTTCCTCAGGGAACAGATAGCCACTTGAATCACGTACATGTGGATCCGGAGTTCAGAACTAAATGAATTTTTAAAAACAGTCAAAAAGTGACAAAAACTGCACTACGGCATGGCCGAATAGTTTAGGAGGAGGATCCCCTTGCTTATCAGTGACAGAGGTATGCAAGGTAGCAGGTAGTTAACCCATCATAACAAACCCTGTTCAGATGAATCATGCCATACTCGCAGTATGCCTTTCTCTACTGAATCTGACAGTAAACTCACCAGGGTACATTCAGGAAAGTACAGGTGTCAATATGCCCTAAGTGCAACAAGGGAGCTCAGTACTCATCTTGCCTAGACAGGGAGAGAGAGAGAATGTAACTCGGATACAAAAGACTAAGTTGCGGACCCAGGCCAGCAGTAGAGATAGTCAACCCAGTGTTTGCATGGGGAGATAGCAAATAGCAATCTGAAAAAGAAAAATTGAGCCAGGTTGTAACACAAGTGAAGGAATCTATTACCTCAGAAGCTTTTATCCACCATAGAATTTTCTACCCTAGAAGCTTTGGTGTAAAATTATGAGTGCAGCACTGAAGCAATGTTATGACAATAAGAAGATCCGTACAATTTTCCTACCGCTAGTAGTAGTGGAGGCTGCATTGTCTGATGACATGAATGGCACATAAGTAAGAAAGAAAAACATGCCTCTCAAAATTAACCTAGCTCGTAAGTCCATATTGAGCTCCCTATCATCTGAGCACCAAGCAGCCCAGCTATAGAGACCAAGAAGAGGAGCAAGAGGGGGAGCAAGAAGGGGAGCAAGAAGGGGAGCAAGAAGGGGAGCAAAGAAGGGAGCAATAAGGGAAGCAAGAAGGGCAGCAAGAAGGGCAGCAAGAAGGGGGGTAAGAAGGGGAGCTAGAGGGGACCAAGAAAAGAAAGACGTCACATGGTGGCTGCACAGGGGGCCAAGAAGGAGAGCAAGATGGGGAGAAACTTCAGAGCAAGAAAGTCTTCAAGCGGTAGTTGCAGAGGGGAGAAAGAAGGAAAGAAAGAAGGGGGAAAATTCTAGAAAGAAAGCCTTCGAGTGATGGCTGCGGAGAATGATTAACTGGTGTGGACCTGGTCCCTCTTGCCCAGGTGCTGAAGTTGACAGCATCATAAGTCAGACATACCTCTTCAATAGCCCAATCCAAAAGCGGCTTCAGCGCATCTCGAATTCCTTCTGCATTTCCAACAAACTTATCCAGCCCTGTTTTGCACAACTCAAGTTCAATCAAGCCAAGACGAATCAGGGAAGAGAACACAAAGTAACATGTCTGTACCATTCACTCAAAGTTACATCTCTCTATCATTCAGACACATCGGCTGGGTACTAGGGGCTACACATTAATAACATGACAGATTACTGATGCCATAAGGCTCTGCCTTGTAAGAAATACCTGACAAGGCAGAGAATCATGGACAATTCTTCCTTTCTACATTCTCAAACAGCCACGCACACACCTGGTTCAGTCTCCATGCGCCGATATGCCAGACCCTTCTTTTGTGGGACCGCATTGTTGATCCTCTCCTCCACCTTTGGTAAGGATCCATTTGTTCCTTGCCTCCATGCATACACGTACACGCGGGTGCCTGCAATGACAGCAAGCAGTTTCTGCTCAGCAAAGTGCCCTTGGTTTGTTCAATTGATGGAATCCTCCTTGTCAAATCATTCAATGACATTTGAGCAATAAAAAAATGTTGATTCCCGACACCCCATGCTCAGTATATGTTCCATGCAGGAGGCCACAGCCAACACGAAGCAACACGCTGCAAAGCTCTATCTCTTCAAGAAGCTCGGCACAGAAAAAGGCAGGCAATAAAAGGGTACTAACAACATAGAGACCTCTGCTGGACCCCTTACTGCATTATTCCGTACATACAATTACAGCTGCATTGAATACTACAACATTTTCTGAGTGATTTGTTTTGATATTTCCATGTATTAGGTGTTTTGGCTCGCCCGTGAGTGGATGTGTCATTCTAATGAGTATCGAGTCTGTTGAATGTGTCTAGGGAGGGACGTATTGGTTAGTCTGATCAGATACAAGTACAGGACTGGAATTTGGCAGTAGAGGGACTTACGGGAAATGCAGGCCAGGCAGGGATACATTGGGAAGTTTACAGGGACCAGTTGGGACAGTTTTGCAAATCCGAGAGGGACTGTAATCCATAGGATTAGTGGTATAACGAAGGTACTGAGCCAAACCCGGACAGAGACAAGACCAGTCCAGGTACATACAGCACAAGTAGGCTTACAGCCTGCAACAATGTCTGTGTTTTAGGAGGCCGGTGGACCTGGAGGCAGGGCAGTTAGGACCTAGAGTGGCCAGGGAAAAGAGAGCTCAAGCTCTGGACCTACCAGTTTATCAAACATTAGTTGGGGAACACAGCGGCAGACAAGTTGTCATTTTCCTTTTCCTTCGTTCTCTCTCATAAAACTTTCATTCCCTTCCCTTTTGACAAGTCGTCTTTGATGAGCTGAACTGACAAGCTAACTTCATCAAGAAATTTTTCTTAAAGCACTTGTACCTCCGCCAGTGTTCGGAAATTAGGGCAAACGGGCTGTCCCGAAGAGTTCGGAGCCGGGCCCACCGACGGCTGCCATTGATAAATCTCATCGGCGGCCGTGGTTTCGTTTCGGCCTCCTAAAAGGTCGGAGGCCCACCCGAGGCCCACTATTTTCCCACTTGGCAAAGGTATTAGTGGTTTAATAGATCATGTCCCTTATGCTCTTTCTCTTTTAAGTTTGGATGGGGAACCAACACAGGAGACCTCAGTTTGAACCTGAGACGTCAAATATCATCCTTGGCACCCCTTTTAGTGATGTGACCCCCTGCCTAACTCTGATCAGGAGGCAGACGCTGTTGTCCGTCAGATTAAAACACCCTGAGCAGAGGTGCTTAAACAACCACTACCTTTTGTGCCGTCCATGGTTACCATGGGCCCTCCACTTTCTCGGTTTGCCCATTGGATGAACAACCCAGCCATCGTGGGTTTTTCTTCCCTCCAAAGGAGTCGGTGATTTTTTATTTTTATTTGTTTTGTTCCGGGGCCAAGGTACGCGGGGGCAGGGGGAGAGTGGACAGGGTAGCCCCAAACATTTCTGCATTCATCTCATTCAGTCACATGGGTATACCATTCAGTCAGATAGAGTAGCTGGGTGAACTTTTCAGGAGGTTGTGGTGTCTGTAAACCACCAGTGCTTTTCACGGGCAAATTTCTGAGACACAGTCGCACATGCATCGCGTCCTTCGGGATGTAATGGCCTGCCTCGCAACGGAAAATACATCCATGCGACACCGTGGCATGCACAGCCCCATTTTGCCTGGATAAATAACGTGCCACTTGGCAGGCCTGTACATCCTGAAGGACGCGGCACGAGATCGGAGAAATTTGGCTGGGAACGTATCGGCTGTCTAAAACATGGACCTTGCCCCAAGAATGGCCAGGAAGATGCTCTCCAAGTTCGGATGTAGCACCAGTGTCGCCCTACCCTTCAGGACAAGCCCCAGTGGTCCACGTTTGGGTTTAGAAAGAATGCACAGAGTCATAGAAACATCCCGATTCATGTTTTCTTCACATGAGCTTAGCACCAGTGGGACCCATGTTTTAGGGGCACTCCTCGCTGGTTTTCTGCCAATGCCTTCAAAGAACGACGCCGACAGCGAAACTGACAGACCCCTGCTATCCCTTGCTCACTGCAAACATTCCTGCTACCCTCTCTAACTGCAAACATAGCACCAAAAAGCTTCAGGGGCACACCCCACTGGTTCTCCGCTAATGGTTTCAAAGAACCACAAGCCGACAGTTGCTTCAGGGGCACGCCCCACTGGTTCTCTGCCAATGCCTTCAAAGAACCAAGCCGACAGTGAAACTGACAAATCCCTGCTACCCCTTGCTCACTGCAAACACTCCTGCTACCCTCGCTAACTGCAAAACTAGCACCGAAAAGCATAAGCATGAGACAAACATAGCACTCATGTCCTGGGGGGTGAGCCCCTTATCTTCTGAGGTGAGCTCTTGCTTGTCAGGATTCATCATGACATGTGAAGATAGGCAAACATACACAAAGAAATCCAGGCAAGTGGACCCTCATCCTGAACAATTTCAGCTCCCAGGGGGGATGTCCCATTAGCAAGCCGTTTGGACAATCGTAGGCCTTTATGACAGGTCCAGGACAGTATTTCTGACATGGAAAGTGGAAGTAAAAAATAAGGCCATACTATCCCTCAATCGATTGTAGATGATCCGATGGCTGATGCTTTAAACCACCAGTACACCAGGGCCTTGTGGTGCTGCACTGTGCCCCAAGCTTTCCCAAACTGCCAGCAGCGCACTTCTTGACTTTTGTGGCTGGCACCGCCAGTCATTGTGGTCCGGTAGCCCTGCGCCTTCAAAAGTTTTGTAGGCGATGAAAAGAAATCTCTGCACGGCTGGGCTGTGTACTTGCGGTTTAAACATGAATTTAATGGTCTGCATGATGCTGTCCGCAAAGAAAAGGTTCACGGAAGAATGATAATGATGACGCCTGACAAAGTCTCCCCCTTTTTCAGAGGGCCGTGGCATCCTACTAGCCATTCCTCACTCTCGTCTGAAATTCACAAAAGGTGGGAAACGAATGTCCTTGAGAATCAAGAACATCTGCAAACGATCCAGCGGCCCAGCTCAGTTGGCAAGGCAAACAAGTGGCATTCAGAAGGTCTTGGGTTCAACCCCCATTGGCCTCATGTACCTTCCTGGCCAAGCTTGGCGCTCGTCACCTAGAGATAGGCTGCTGGTCCCACCGAGCAGCATTGAGCAGAGACTGCTGAAGTTTGTAGGGGGAGGGGACCGAAGGGCATGGGCCATGGAAGAAGCCGGTCCTGATGCTACCGGCTGACCCCTGGCCGGTATCGCCCACCTGCAGGTCGGGTACAGGCTGTACAGCCCCCGAATGTTCCCTCGTTGGAGGCTTGAACGCGGGCTGGCTAATACGGGCCCTGTAAAACTATGATGATAATTGAAAAAAGGCCTGAAAGGCCTCCCTGTCAGATTCGACAGGCAATTGAATTGGTTGGGCGAAAAAGAATTAGCCTTTGAATAAATAAATAAATGTGCAAGCTTTCCTGGTTTCTGTCCCACTTGCTTTGGTGGGAAGGAAGGTCGTTTTGCACCAGTGTCATCGCCCCAGCCGTTTTTTTCTGAATCACGGTGTGCAAGGCCCGTTTTTCCTGGATGGATTTCCAGCAAAAGGGCGCCCCGGTACTTCCCAAAAGTCGCAGCAGCATGCACACCACGACTCTGAGAAGTGGCTGGGAGATGACACAAAGGAATTGGCATCCCTGTGAGTCCACTGCAACACGGGGACCCAGGAGGGCCTTCCATCTACCAGCCGTGCCGGGTTGGCAGCAGAGTGGAAATTTTTAGTGCACCAACTTTAATGGTTTTTCGAGCTCGGTATTGTCAGTATTGTGCACGGAAAATTATTTTGAAAAATCAGGCCCATAGTTGTTTTTATTTTTTGTTTTTTTCATTCCTCCATCTATTCGTGGGGAGCAGCACGTGCTGGAAAACGGGTCCAGTGTCCCATGTACATAAAGATCAAATACAAACGGATAGTGCATCCCAGACCTCTTCTCCAACAAGGGGCAGCAGAAAACTATAACGGGTAAACCTCAACATCCAACTGCCCACTCTCAGAAAGATCCTCCATCTGTTAGGTCCATAACCATCTAGTCTGTTCCAGGCAACTATGTACTGCCTCACAAGTTACATCAAGATTAAAAACACAGATAGTAGCCAAAGCCAGCGCAGATCTCTCCTTCTCATCCTTGCTGATGGGATAAACAAATGACTATCATCCCCTCTTCTATACCATCTGCTCCTTCAAGGTGAGCAAAGGCCAATGCTCACTAATCTCCATTGAGCTCAACCACACTCCGTGTACTTTACCTGCCTTACTTCAGAAGGATCTTCCATTCAGATACAGACTGGTTCATCGCAATGTTCTTCCCATTCTGATTGCTCTGTCTGAGAGAAGAGTTGCTGGAAGTTAGCCCTGCCATTCCTCCCAGCTCTCTCTCTCTCTCTCTCTCTCTCTCTCTCTCTCTCTCTCTCTCT